AATTCTGAAAATTAGAAAAAGCTTTTAGCACAAGCCAATTTTAAGATGTTTACATATTTAATCTAAGGTGCTTTTTATGTTAATAATTTATTACCACCTACGAAACTCTAACGTTCCAAACAACGCATTTCAGAAAGGGCGTTCTTCCGTTTCAGTTTAATATGAATTTCATTTATCATCTCATATACTCTGCAGATACACCAAGATAGAGAGCTAAGATTCTGCCGAGAGAACTGCGCAAAATTTTGTTAAAACGGATGAATTTTGTAGACGCTTAAATACGCCGAGCAGATCAAACAAAAGTTTCAATCGCAGAGCAATGTACTTTAGACGACTACGATGAAAGAATTTTAGTTCAGTGATATTTGTTGATACTAAATGAAGGAAACATTCAATTTCAAATTGAAATTTGCGTAGTATTTTTATTTTTATTTAAATCATATGGAAATATCTCGACGCATTTCTTATAATTTGAAGCATATGGTGAATAACACTTTTTTGGACTCACCGACTCTAGTCTAAATTAGATTTTATGGCGTCAGGCACACAAAAGTGCTTTATTAAAACTCCGTAAGGCACTAAAGTCTTTATTCGTCCGGAAGATAATTTTTTTTCTGGAAGTTGAGTTTTAGAAAAAAAACAAATGAAACGAAAGAAATTACAGTTGCTTTGAAAATATCAAGATAATTCTCCGAGAGACATCTACCCTCTTTCGGATGAGTAAAGACTGTGGAGTTACTCCTGCCAACTCGATTGGGGGACTGTCGAGTAATTTTGACTTCGCCTTGGGCAAATAACCGCTACTTAATTCGCTGAGGCTAGATAAACGTTTTGTTTTGGTATAATATGCGTAATCATACTTAAAAATCAGCCTTGTGGAGTTGGGTTAACCGAAACTTTTCCTGGCTTTAAAAACAAGAGAATAAGACGAAAAGGTAGAAGAAGATATTACGATACATAAAATAGTGAGATGAAAACAACATCCCATGAATTTCAATTATGGCTTAGCAAGTTGCTAGTACGTGTTTACATTAAAAAAATGTTACATTATCGGAGGAATAGTACCAGAAATTGGGCGTTGAAATATGTTTCTAATCGAAATAAGATTTTCGACGTATTTAGATTTATATGTCTTCATGAAACACTTCGTACGTCTTACTAGCAGTCCGAAATCGTCAAAAGGTCTGCTCCCAGCAGCTCCTCAAGAGAGATATTCATCGAATTCTGGGCTGATTGAAAGGCTCCCTCGATCCAGCCCTCTCGCGAATGATAAGCCCAACTGACTATTTGATAAGCCTAACCTGTTTTTCTGTGAATTCTTCATTTGAGATATCTGAGAAGCTTCGGGTAGGGCTGCCATCTTCAAGGACAACAAACAGGACTGAAAAAAACAGCCAGGCCTCACCTTAAGCGGTTGTTCAGTGTGAAAAAAAAAAAACACTGCTTTTAAGATCAGCTGTAGATCGAATAATGATAGAAGACAAAATAATTACCAAATAGAGCGGTTGAACGACGCTCTTTTTGTCACACCTATCACTATGGCCTGG